TAACATTATGTGAAGTTTGGTTTTTCCCTTCTAGAATATAGTTTCCGAATTGATAGTTAGAAGATTAAACTAAATGTGTATACTTTGGGCTGGTATTCCACAATTGTTCAATTTGCATATTTTTCTTCTTCTTGACTGATTGGGTACATTTTGCTTTCAAATATATATGTATATATGCTTTATTTACCTGGTCAAGGGCCACATATCTTTTTGTGTCCATATATATATACTTTATTTACTATATATATATATATGCTTTATTTACCTGGTCAAGGGCCACATATCTTTTTGTGTCCATAAGGTAGGTGGAGCTTGCATTTCGTGGCATGCTTGCCAAGTATCTTAAGAGCCCATATTGACGGTACARGTTGTAGTTGTTATTTGGAATGCCACTTTACATGGCCTGGATTCATTTTTCCTTGATCAACAAAGTTGAAAAACCAATTCGAAATTGAAACCACTTTTTGGCCACCAGTTTCTTGACCGGAAATTTGACCATCCAGGTTCAAATAATTGAGTTGCTTCTAATTTAAAGGCTAAAATATAAAATATATGTTAGAATCAACTATGTCATTTGAACTGTATGACCTGGACGGTAACCAATGACCAAGAAACTGGTGGACAAAAGAATTCCATTGTGGGATTGGTTTTTCAAACCTTGGTGACCAAAAAAATTAAATCCAGGCCAAGTAAAGTGCCATTCCAAATAACACCTAAAATCTGGACWCTCTATAGCCTCTTAAGATACTTGGGTAAATCATATAAATGATTTTCATACACAAAAAAAGTCAACTCAATAAAAATAAATTTAAGCCATTTGACGTTTATTTATTTTTTATCGTAAAAGAATCAATTTTTTTTTTTTCTAAAATTAGCTATTTGATTTAGTGGAATAGAAAGTTACAAACTGAGTTTGTTATTACAAACTAATAACAAACTGTGTATGAGGAGAAGCACAAATATAACTAATCTCCTGTTGAACCCGTCTTTAGAGTTTCCTCAGTGAAACCATCACATATCACCGCTTGCCAAGAGTCATTTGCGACGCTTCACTCAAGCTTTGATATCCTTTCGTTCATTATATAGGTAAAGTTCCACCAACAACATAGCACATTTAAGCTTTGAATTGAACGAGTTTTTAGGCACAAAMAAAGCTTCTATGTGTATTTTAAGACTGAAATGTCTAATAACCTAATTAATGTTGCAACAACATGGCACATGTCTCTCAAGGGCTTCATCACAAAGACTATAAATCCCTYGCCATTACTTTGTTTTTTCATCATTCATCACAAGCCCGTCTTGAGTAATATCTGTGTTGTAAGTTCTCTGCAAAGAGGCCAAAAGAGGAAAAAGATGGCTGACAACTCTCAAAAAGCGAGCTTCAACGCTGGTGAAGCCAAGGGCCAAACTCAGGTGAGCAATATCCACCTATATATTGGTTCATTGTATACTCCAATTCATCATGTGTAAAGATATACGCATGCATACTTGGAACATAATGTGGCCATGGGTTTCCATTCTTGATCAAATTTAAGTTTTCTCCTTGCAGGCCAAAGCAGATCAGATGATGGACAAGGCAAGCAATGCCTATGAATCAGCCAAAGAGTCATGTCAAGAGGTTCATTTCATTTTCCAAGCAAAAGAAATTCTCTTGTTCTACCAATACTAATAATGCAAACAATYCGTTTGCTAGTATAAATTTTAATTGGTTTTTTTATTGTGTAGGCTGGTCRACAAATGCAGGCTAAGGCACAAGGGGCCACTGATGCTATCAAGGATGCCACCGGGATGAACAAGTGAAAAGTTCTTGCTTCATAGATGTTTTGGTTTTTGATTTCTTGATATAATAAGATGCAATTATCCACGTAACCTTACTCTCTCTCTCTCTATCTATTTCTTTCTCTCTCTACCCAAGGACAAAAAATACAAAACCATCCTATGWAAAATTGCAAACTAGATCTGTTTGGGCTTAGGCTAGGCTGGCCCAAATTGCACCCTTATCCAATAGGGGAGGTATCAGTACAATTTGAAAAGAGAAAATATGTTTCAATTTTTAGGGGAAACATCAATGGAGGTTTACATCTTTTACCCTTCTCTATTTCCGAATTGAATATTTGGTTTCTTAATTGGCACCAAAGTTGGAAAGGTCATATTTGTGTATTTAATGGCTACTATAATGGTCATATTTGTGTATTTAATCCATCTCTAATCAAAAGGGTTGAAAATGTAACTTCAATTATTACTTTACACTTCATTTAATCCCTTCTCATTAAGTCTYATACTTAAGGTATTAAATCTTATTTTCTCTTATTAAGTGCTATATTTTTAAGTTATTTTTTACTAATAAAATTTACTAATTAGATCTTTGTTAATATTTTTAGCAATATAAACCCATATATTTTAAAACTGACTCAAAAATAAAACCATTCTTTATCCAATTGGTGGCTAAGCAATTCAACCATCTGAATCAATTTGATCAACCTATGAAGTATAGTTAGGTAATAAAATTTTTAAAATAGAAATAAATATAGAAATTTACAAAAAAAATGTAGAAAAAACTAAACAGATTTATGATATTTTTATTATTCAAATTAAAAAAATAAGTGCAATAAATAAGAATTATTTTTATTGATAATGAAAATGAAATACATAATATAGAACTGATCAAAAATGAAATATAAAACTAATAATAAATAGTTCAACTTTCGGGTTAAATGTGTTAACGTTTAATGTCATAAATAAATAATAAAAATTAATAAACTTAAATTACAAAAATGAGAAAAATACATCAATTTTGCAAAAGATGTTGTGGGCACATGTATAATATCATGTACTTATCATATTAAACAAAAAGTAAGTATGACATATCAAAATTTTTTTTACACACAAAAAATAAAAAAAAAAGTTATAGAAAAAATTGAAAACATCTATAATCTATGTTTAGACTACCATTAAAAATGTGAATAACATTGTGGAACTTTCTTTTTTCTAAAATCAAGGTTTTTAAAACTCACCCAGAAACAGAACTGCTTTKGCTTCCGGTTTCCAAGTCAACGTTTCAACCATCCAATTTGAACAGGTCAAACCGGTAAGATGTAAAATATAATGTGACTTTTATTTTAACCGTTAGAGTATGATTAGGTTGAAGTCCACCGTATATATATATATTATTATGAGAGGGGAGTATGAGACTTTGAGAAGGAGTTGGCTGGTTAAAGTTGAGAAGTGAGAAAAAAGAAGGTGAAGAAGAAGAAAAAAAAGAGAAGGAACTGTTGCCGAAGGTGGTTGTCACCATGTTCACCGGTTGTTGCTGAACCGTTTTGCCCTAAGGAGAAGAACTATCGGCGGCGGCTATCTCCATGTTCATCATCACTGCCACTACAACACCGCTTGCCCTCTTCTTACATCTCTCATATCTCTAAATATCTCTCAAATCCCAGCTTGCTTGCTTCATTGGTGTATCTTARCTTTTAATATAAGATTGATTTTTAATCTCTCATCTCTTGCATCGATTTTTTGATTTCTTCATTGGAGTTGCAATTTTTTTGCTATTACAAGTTAAAAATAATCACAAAAATAAGAAAAATTCAAAATAAATATGGAAAAACTAAAAACCCTAACTAATTTTGGCCATTGGGAATAATCAAACAAGATTATGACAAATGAAAGTTTCTTTTCTCAATTTTTTATTTTCTAATTTCTATTTTAAATAATAAAAATTTGAGAATAAGTTTGAAAGCAACTCGAGAACCATTAAACGGGTTAAACATTTTAACGGTTAAACTATCCAAGTCAGGGGTTCTCTAACCATTTAAACTTTTTTTTTTTTTTTTTTGTAAAATAGCAGTTCAGGGCAAAAATGGAACTAGTAACCTAACCGGAAGGGCCAAATGGTTCGACCATCTGGTCTGGTCCAGTTTTTAAAACATTAACTAAAATAATCATTTTGTAATTTAGTTCCTATTTAATTGTAAATTGAATTACTATTTTTCACCTCATTCAATTTTCTCTATTTAAATATTATATTTTTTTTGATAAATGAACAAAAAAAAGATACACCAAAAAGATAAAACACTACAAAAGGAAGAGTCTAGCCAAGAGAATGGCCTATAAATGATACATGAAATTTCACAAATCGATCTGATTATCACATATTTGGGTGAAGTATTTATGTAATCGGATTTGGATTTTTTGATCTACATATGTTTAATAATAAAAAAATAAAAAATAAAAAGTAAATAAAATTTATAGAAAATTTTAAATATATTATTACTATAATTATCATCATGTAGAGTTGCCACCCTTCTTAAGGGATCTATCTATCTACCCCCCTCCACCAACTGGTCAACCCTCAGCTAGGGTGGAATATGGAACTTGATAGGTGACCAATTTCCGAGTTGAGCGGCGCTAATTAGGTCAATATGGTTTTAAAACCATGTTGGTCATTCAATTATACTAACAATGAGTGGACAATCTATTGCTATTAACACCATCAAGGTGTGAAAGTGAAACCGGATTTGTTAAAAGCAAAATATGAGCCTGGATGTGCTCTATAAGTGCGTTTGCACGCTTTTTGCTTTCAGCAGATCCAGTCTCTTCTGTGAAATTAAGCAGATATTGAATTCGTGGAGCCTAGATATTGATTTCTTAACCTCTATAATGAATTATTCAAGTAAATTTATTTTGAACTTTTAGCTGATCTCTTTAATTAATTCCAATTATAGCTAGATTTACAGAATATTGAAGGTTTTGCAGAACAAGAAGAATGATCTTTCCAACTTTGGTGCCAATCAGAAAATAACCAGATATTGAATTCTGGGAGGGAGAATGCATGACTCGGTTCAAAAGATAGATGTTTCGTTAATTAAGAGAAATCAAGAAGAAGACCCCTGCAATCAGCGATGAGATTAAGGAAGAATTCGCCAAGGAACCTCTGACTGAGGATTTAACAGGGCACATGTACACTATCTTCTGTTTGTCTCCTTCAATGATTAGGTGTTCAATATGAAGATCTTTTGTCATGCCAACGGCTTCCCTGAAAGCCTTAGCTTCTATAATTTCTACATCTGTTTTGGCTTCTCTAATAGCACGTCAAACAGAAACTCCCCAAGTATTTTCATGCCGTTTCAATTGTGCTAGCTGGTATATATATATAAGGGCCTAGGCCTCCTTGATGACTTTAGAAGGGTTCAAATCCACTCCTTCCCATGATTTTACTGCACCTTGCCTTCCATAAGCACCACATTAAAATAGCACATTTGCCAAAAATGCTTGTCATTTTCTGGCGTTTCATGGATCTTGCTCCACCAATAATTCAGCCAGTGTTCTAATCTCCAATTAATCTGGGTGGTCCTCAATATGAATGGATAAAGAGGAACCAAACCACACTGATCTTCCTACTTGACATCTTAGAAAGAGGTGCTTCTTGCATACAGAGGGAACAAACTTTTTCGATCTTACGAGTAAATTTAGCCCAGGAGACTCTAACTGGTAAATTAAATTCCTTTGATGCATCTCCATAGAAAGCTTCAATGCGAGGTGTGACTTCTCTAAAGTTCCAGAAATCTTTCCAAGTTACCTCAGCAAAAGCAAATTGGTGTGTCGATGATGTAGCCCATTGACTGGTTACATTTTTATAACCTGAAGCACAAGTGAAATTGCCATGAGGTGTGAGAGTCCAACAGAGTCTATCCTGCCCGCTTTTGGAATACGATATTTCAAATCCGTTATTAGTTATTTAATTCAAATGTTTCCAAACCCGTTTACAATATTTCAACCCAGGTACGAGGGTAGGAGATAGCGGGGACCCGTGACTAACACGGGAAAACCTAATGACTGACACGGACAAAGCCAATGGGGATTCTAGCGGGGCCCATTCTCTCATAGTCGAGAAGTACGGACAGGTCTAATGCAGATTTTTGAATTTCTCTATAGAGCTATAAACATTCAAAATGTCAAAAACCTCTCATTTTATACACCAACGCCTGCCCGTGAATTAGCATCAATTCGGAGCTGGCACCCACCCCAATTGTACTTTGGGCCTAAAAATTCTCACCTGAAATGGAGTCCACATTCGGGTCGGCATTTCAAAAATCATTAATGTTAACGGATGTTTAGCTGTTAGCTGAACAACCCGGTTCAACTACCCACAAAAAGACAAAACTCAGGGTTTAGGGGTTAGGGTTTTAGGGGTTTAGGGTTTAGGTTTTAAGGGTTAAGGGTTTAGGGTTTAGGGTTTAGGGTTTATGGTTTAGGGTTAAGGGTTTAGGTTTTAGGGTTTATGGTTTTGGGTTTAGGGATTAGGGTTAAGGGTTTAGGGTTTAGGGTTTGGGGTTTAGGGTTTTGGGATTAGGGTTTAGGGTTTTAGGGGTTTAGGGTTTAGGATTTAGGGTTTAGTGATTGGGGTTTTGAAGTTAGGGTTTAGTGTATAGGGTTTGGGGGTTTAAGGTTTATGGTTTAGGTTTATACATTTTAGGTTTAGGGTTTAAGGTTTAGTGTTTAGGCTTTTGGGTTTTGGGTGTTGGGTTTTGGGTTTTGGGTTTTAGGTTTAGGGTTTAGGGTTTAGGGTTTAGTGTTTAGGATTTTAGGGATTGGGGTTTTGAAGTTAGGTTTAGGGTTTGGGGGTTTAGAGTTATAGAGTTTTGGTTTAGGGTTTAGGGTTTGGGGTTAGGATTTGGCTTTTTCAGGTTGAGGGTATAGGGTTTTCAGTTTTTGGCTTTAAGATTTAGGGTTTGGGGCTTAGGATTTTGGATTTAGGGTTTAAAGTTTGGGGAGTAGAATTTAGGGTTTGGTGTTTAGGATTTAGGATTTAGGGTTTTGTGT